ATCCTCCGACACCCAATCCTCTCTAGATCTGATACCAGCTGGTCACACCTGGCACCCAGCTCCAGGGCAAAGGAAGCAGATATGTCGCCTGCTGCCAGGTGGTGCTGGAAAAGCTGGATTTAAGCCAAAAGCAAATATGTGGTAAAACAGTACCAGCCACAGAGGAAAAAAACATGTTTGAACCAGGATTAAGTAAGTGAAAGATTTAGCCAATACAATAGAAAGGAATTAGATGAATAAAAGACTGGAATAGAATAGGTTAAATCATTACTATTTACAGATGATATGATGAAAAAACTAACAAAGTCAACTGAAAAACTACTAAAACAGATTTAGTAAGTCTGATGGATGACTCAGTAGCTTTCATAAACAACAAACAGGAGATATAACGGATGAAAAGTCCTCGGTTACAACAGCCAAGACAACAAAATACCTCAGAATAAACTTGATAGGAATGTGAAGGAAATATATGAAGAAAACTTCGAGACACTTCTAAGGAACAGACAAATAACCAAATAGAAAGGCATATCGTGGTCTTGGATAGGAAAACCTGACATCATGAAGACAACATTCTCCTTAACCTAGAGGTCAAATGCAATTCCAGTAAAAAAGAATACTGAGGAAAGCTCTGAAAAAGAAGAGTAATTAGTGTAAACAAGCCCTACCAGATATTAAGATGTTTTATAGACCCTCAATAATTAAAATGGTATGAGACTATTGCATGATTACACAGATGGATCAATGCAACAGAATAGAAAGCCCAGAAAATAGACCCAAATACATCTGGGAATTTAATATATGATAAAAATGGCATCTTAAATCAGTGGGAAAGATGAACAATTCAATAAATGTTGTTGGGATAGCTGGATAGCCAACTGGGAAAAGATAAATTTGCAACTATACTCACACTGTACACCAGGATAAACTCCAAGTGGTGCAAAGATTAAAATGTAAAAAAATCAAACCATAAAAGTACTAGAAGCCACACAAAAAAATGAGACAACCTGATATTATTTGCTCCCTGCTGGAAGAATACACCACCTATGAAGTAGTCTTGAAAAGAAAAATCTAATCTAAATCTGATAGCGCCTTGATCCAACGGCCAATTCACAGAAAATACAGAGGACAGAGGAACATATAAACTACAATTTAGGATGCAATCAGCAAACTCTCGGCTGTGGGAGACTACAGGACACTCATGGTGCAACACTCCAGTGAAAAAAGCAAGAACAGTGTGTCTGGCATACATGTTTGTTATAAGGGGGAAAAGAATATAGAATAATTTATTCTTGTATATACATAAAAAATTCCCTAGGGAGTCACATGCAACCAAAAACTGGTATCTTGGGGAGGGGGAAGTAGCATGAGGAACGGGGTGGGAAGTAGAGTTCACTTTATACCTTTTAAACTTTTGAATTTTTGACATATGGAAATTCATTACTTATTTATTAAAATTAAATTAAAGAAAAATTAAAGAACCAACGAACTTAAAAATAAGCAGCAGCTCTTAACTTGCAATGACTATGATGAAAGCTCCTCTGTAGAAGTTCCTGAAGACGGTAACAGCAGGCAAGAGACAAGGAGCACTTGAACTAAGGTGACGCGTCTTGCTTTTTTCTCTGGAGTATTGCAATGGTTTCCATGTTCATTTTCCTCTCTGCAGTCTTGCACCCACTGATCCATACTCCATGTGGCTGTCAGGATGATCTTCCTAAACCACAGACCTAATCATGTTTAAAAACTTTTAGGAGGTTCCTTAAAAATTAAAAGTAGAACTACCACATGATCTAGCAATTCCATTTCTGGGTGTTTACCTGAAGAAAACTAAAACACTAACTCAAAACGATATATGCACCCAATGAGAACAGATCTTAAAAGTTCTCATCACAAGAAAAAAATTTTTGTAACTATGTATGGCGACAGATGTTAACTAGACTTCTTGTGGTGACCATTTCACAACATATATACACATACTGAATCATTATGTTGTACACTGAAAACTAACATAATAAGTCAATTATACCTCAATAAAAGACAAAACCTTTCAGTGTCTCTCTCTTACAGGATCAAGTTCAACTCCCCAACATGACACAACATTGAACATCTTTCATAAGCTAGCCTTAACCTAGCCCCTGTCCAGGGGTGCGCCCTGTCACTCTTCACTATAAATCCCGAGTCCCACGCATGTTGGATGACTGGCTGGATTCTGAATATATCAAGCACTTTCTTCTTTGTCCATGGTTATCTCTCTGCCTGGAACTTCTTTTCACTTCTCCATCTAGTTAGCTTTTACTTTCTGCCCATCCTTCAAGACCCAGCTAAAAAGCTACATCCTTTAGGAAGCCTGCCCTCGCTTCCTCCTCACAGAACTAATTTCCCCTTTCCATTTGGCTCACAGAGTCCTTCATTCAAACCTATAATATAGCGCATGTCACAGCATGCCATAACTATTATTTGTTCTAGTCAGTGTTTAATAAATGAATAATCATGCCTTATGGCCAACCCAGCTCTTTCTCCAAAGGTCCTAAGTTCAAAGAACAGGATTCCACAAAGAATATCAAAAGCCAGGCTTGTAAAAAAATTACTAGTCCACTGAAATGAATTATTGGCTTGTCTTCATTCCAGATGGTCCTGGAAATCAACATCCTGTATTATTCACATTGTACATCAAGAGCTGCAGCGAGGCGTGTGGTCCTTTCGCCAACAGGCTCCAGCAAGCTATCCAACTCCTTCAAACAAGACCAAGTTTCCCTTAGGCATCTACCAACTAAACTCCTCCCATTCACTTCTTCGGGAGCAGAGTGAAGCTCGAAGGGCTTATTTATGGAGAGGAATGAGTTGGTCGTAAGAGCAGAAACTAGAAATCACAAGTCCTCCTGATTAGCTCCCTGTGCTAATCTAGCAAGCAAACAAAGCCTAGAATCTTATTACCTTTTCTTGCATGTTTAGGATATTTGAGCTTATGGGAAAAGTAAGAATTTGGCTGTAGAATACACCTGAGCGGTGATAAAGATACAGGTGTGGCTGCTGATCAAAGTGCTGGAGTGGAGGAGGCCCTCCAGACCAGCGCCTGCCTTCTGTATCTACACTATACCGTGGGTTTCTGAGCGTAACCTACTGGAAGCCTCAATGCACTAAATAATCATTACATTTTCATAGATTATGTTGAATCTCTTACCTAACACCTTCTAAGACTTCACCAAACACATACAATTGAGCACTGACCTAAATAACTCCTATCTACCTGCTGCTTCTTTATGCAGTAGTAACCCTGGAATCACAGGACTTTAAGCTGGAAGGTACCTGAGAGATGGCCTACTGATCCAAAGCCCGCCCTGTCCACTGCGTAAACAGAAAGGCGAATTTACATGTCCAAGGTCATGTCAGTCAACTGCAGAACCTTGACTGGTCAGTTTTCCTAATATTCAGTTCACTGCTATTTCCCTCACATCAAGCAATCTCCATTCCTTCCATTTTATTCACTTAATCTTAGATACTGTTTTCAAATTTCTGTTTCATAACAAACTGTGGTCTAGCCCACCAGAATCCTCAAGTGAAGAAATCTCCTGATATCAGGAGCATCTTCTTGATTTATCTTCAAACTCCTTCTTGCAACAGGGAGTAGTAGTGGGCGGAGGGGAAGAAGTCGGCTCGGGGGAGACTTGTGTTATTCATCTCCAATTAGATGAATTCATCTTCAATTCATCTATCAGTTACAAAGTTCTGAGGTGGCCTGCCCTGATTTATTGTTTCATAGCATCAGATTCTGTAAGCTGTATTCAGGGCAGTGAAAGTCAAAAGGCAGACCAGGTTCCACCACCATTACTTGGCCAAATATCAGGAAAGACGGCAGATTTAACTGCTCTGTGTTATAGCTCAAAATAAATGAAAGGAACAGTATCACCATAAAATAAATAATTCTTGTGAGAGTCTTCCTGCAGTCATCCAAAAGCTCCAATTATTTGCAGCCATAATTTATAGGAAGAAAATTCCTGCATGTTCAAGGAGATATCTGTTATGGGTTAAATTTTGTCTCCCCCAAAAAGATACGTGGAGTTCTAACTCCTAGGACCTCAGAATGTGACCTTATTTGGAGATAAGGTCTTTACAAAAGTAATCAAGTTAAAACGAGGTCTTAGGGTGTGCCCTAATCCAATATGACTGACGTCCCTATAAAAAGTGGAAATTTGTACAGACACATACAGAGGGAAGACAATGTGAAGACAGGGAGAACATCACGTCCAAGCCAAGGAACACGTGAGGCTACCGAAAGTTGGGAGAGAGGAATGAAACAGCTTCTCCCTCACAGCACTCAGAAAGAATCAACCCTGCCAGCACCTTGATTTTGGACTTCTAGCTCCCAGAACGGTGAGACAATGAATTTCTGTTGTTTAAGCCACCCATTCTGTGGAACTCTGTTATGTCAGCCCTAGCAAACTAATACAACACCTGATGACCAGTGGGTCTCCAGGACCCCCAGCCAATGCTGCCAGGAATCAAGTTCAGGTTAACAGAGGCACCACCTCTGAATGTTAACAGAAGACACATAGCTTACTGCAGAAATAAATCCAAAAGATTTTCCTCTTCAGAATAATCTACATATTTATGCAAAAGCTAATTTTAAATGATGCCTCTCTCTAACTACCACACGGCCACTTTTGCCAAACCAGGGTACAAAAAGTGGTCACTCACACGCACACACACACACACACAGAGTATATCTCTATATTTGGCCTTGAATAGATAAGAAGTTCCCACAGTTGCTGGGACTATGATTTCAACCATTCCTGTCAGTTTAGCAGATGAAACTGGAACAGCTGCATCTTCAATACTCATCATTGTCTTAAAAAGATGCTCAGAGCAAATTACAATTAAATTACAGAGCTGTCAAAAAGGGTTATAATTATAGCATTTATTCACCACAATTACAAGGCCAGACATACACAAAAGGAACTAAAAGCTGAAGAAAAAAACAAAAAAACCCACTCCACATTACTTACCTCAGCAGAAAATTTGGTTGAGGGGAGAAGAGAAAATGAGTTACTTATCACGCAAAGAGTCCACTTATTGCAACGTTTTGGGTTTCCAGAGCGTCTTCCATTCCAGAAGTCAGAGGCACTTTAAGACATCATCTGGTGGCAACTCATCTCTCTTTTGACAGTTGGAAAAAGGAGGACCAGCAAGGTTGCCATGACTCACTCACAGTTACAGACAAGCAAGGGAGGAGCTGGGACCTGAACCAAGAGCAAGGGCGACTCCCGCCAGTGGGCTGAACAAGGAAAGCAAAATCAGGACAGCCAGATCTGGCCCCTTGTTTTGCTCTCATCTAGAAGAGGATATTAATTTATCCAGCAATTATTTACCATGCAGCTCTTGGAGAAGCTTGAAAATTGCCCTTCACTTCTCCTGCCAAAACGACACAAGGTACAAGAGAGGAAGAAAATCCTCAACTGCCATTTATGCTAGTCAATTCTGCTGCTAATCAATAATGCATTCAGAACCACCGGAAGGGATGGTACAATTCACTTAGTCACCTTCAACCTCAGTGTCCGAAAGATAAATTGAGGATTGTAATGCTTATGCAGTGAGCAAACTCCTTGGGAAAAAAAAAGTGCTAACCAGAGCACCACGAATGGTTTCTATCCAGCAATCAATGAGTATCTATTGCGCTCTCTCTTTGCATCGTAAGAGATGCTAGCGACTGTCAGAGACACAGAGATGTCACATTTAGACTTGTTTCTCAAGAGCTCATAGTCTAGCTGAAGAGAGGAGATACATAGAAAGGTAAAGTAAAACATTCAGTACACAGAGTATTTTAAACTCCTAATTCAGTCATATAAACAAGTTCAGAGCAAGGAGAAAATTAACGGATTCTTATCAATCAGTTTTTCACACTTTCTTCCCCGAGTATGATCACATAAGGGTGGCTTTCTTAGTGCCCTCGGGTTTACCTGAGTATTCTAAAAATTTATTCAATTGGTCATTCAGTTAAACCTTCCTTTCCACTGGGTGGTACTTCCTTTATATATAAAGCCCCAACCCCATCCCCAAATTTAAAACCTTGCTTGCTGGCAGTGGAATGAACCACTGTGGAAGAAAGAAAACATTCCTAACAGTGCTACCTACGGTAGACTCTATGACTTTATAGGAGTTGCTCTCTGAATTAAGACTAAGGATAGCAAATACATGACATTGTCCTCCTATCCTGTGCCCAGGGAAGGTATCACTTATTGATCATCTAATTACTTTCCTACTCAGTGCAAATATAGCCCTCAATCTTTCTTAACACAGTAGCACTGGCAGCCACTGGTAAATGATCAAAATCGACTTACGATATGGAGGCCATTTCTATTTAAAGTCAGATTTTGTGTCTCCCTTCTTAATAAGCTAATTATGTCATACAACATTTAGTCTTCTGGGTTCAAAATGTGATGAGTAGAATATGATCTCAAAGAGAATATGATCTCACAGACTGACAGCTACGCCCCAGGATCCAGTTTCCCTTTCCTCAATGATGCTGAACTCCAAGATTTTCAGCTGGGTACCCAGCCACCTGCTAAAAAGTTTACAGCTAAGTTCTGAATAAAGGGATACAAGTAACTTCTAGGACGTGTGCCTAAAGGGAAGGCATCTGCTGTTTTTCTTCCCCTCCCTCCATCCTGGTGCATAGGACATGGACGTGGTAGCAAGTCGTCTTGGACCATATGGATGAAACACACACAATAGAGATGGCCAAGCAACATGGAGAAGGAACTTAGGTCCCAGATGTCCTTATGGAGTAAAGCCACTATATTGTCCCTGAACTGTCTACCCTGAGCAGTCAACCAGAGAGAAATAAACTTCAACTGTATCTAAGTTACAGTTATTTTGGATCCTGCTCTTCTCTATGGTCAAACTTACCTCCTAACTAGTAAAATAAGCACAGAATAATTTACACTAACCTAGAGGTCTGATTCTTTTATCAAGAACAAAACAAAATGGGAGAGTAAAAGGAAGTTTCCAAATAAAAATCAAAGAAAATATTCTTCTAGTCTGCCTTAAATATTTTTAATGGCGAGAAACCCACATTCCTGTAAATTCTGGATTTATCCAGAGAAGAGGTGAGCAAGAACACATGCACACTTATTGTATATCTGTTTATAAATCTGTTCATATGGAATATCTCTAAGTTCATAGGTACAACACTGATCCATGGGAATACCGTAATCTGTTTCAAAACCATAAACCCTGAATTTCTGCCATCAGAAATGGCAAACAAATCTGAGGACCTAAGCAAATAAATAAAAGAAAGCATTTTTTTCCACAATGAGTACTGGACTTTTAACTTCCAGTCCTGTCCCCAACACACACACACATGCTTGTGTGCATGCTTGCACGCTCACACACACGCATGCTCACAGACACACACATACATGCATACAAACAAAACATTTAAACAGGCTATAAAAGAATTTTGGAAAGTTCATGGGGGCCTAGTAGTCTAGTTTGGATGATTTCAGCTCTTCTAAAGTACATCCCCACAGCCCCTGTCCCACCTCAATCCATTCCTTACCAGAACCGGAATCTGAATACCAGTCTGGATGGTCGTACAGCAGCCCAGCACGGCTCTCCTGCCACTCTCATCTCATTTCATGGTAGGAACATACGCAGGGATTTAAAAGGCCAATATGAACAGATTTTATGTCCCATAACTCTTTCTGGGTGAGCGCATTATTTATTTTTGGTGGGTGGGGGAAAGAAAGGGAATCTGACGTCCTTTTAATTTTTAATGTCAGAATCTAGTCAAAAAAAACCCTCTTAAGAACCCAACTTCACTTGTTCTTTTCTTCTCTTACCTCAGGCCTCATCTTTCCCTGGCTTACTCTCAGGCAAAGGTAGCCAGGAATTACAAAAGACTATAAAGATCACAATGATTCATTTTTCTCTTCTTCTATCTCATTAATTTCTTTTCTCTGTTTAAACATATATCGTCTTAGGATGAGACCTAAAACCCCACCCATCAGCTTAGAACAGAAAGATAAAGGGAGAGTCTAATGAATCTGTTTGCCTGCTGCTAAAGAAACTCATTCAGTGAAGCTGGGTAGATGGATTGCCAGATCCCAATAATAGACGATTCTTAATCATAAGAAAAGGAATGGTAAAAATAAGTGAGCAAAAATAACCAATAAAAAGGTCAAACAGCTATGGCTAGAGGGCAAACCAGAGAAGCCTCGGTACTCAAGGACCCCAAATCAAGGGATGTGGACTGTCATGTGTAAACTATTAAGGAGAAAGGACATTCTAGCCTAGAGATCTTGCCACTCTGTGACAAAGGAGCGCCAGGTTGTTCCCTAGGCTAGGCGATTATGTAGGATTATGCAGGCTGCTCCCTGCATGAGGATGCCCAGTCAAGTATGCTAGAGGTGAATGAAATCCAGCTTTCCTGCCATTCACCAAGTGCCAGGCTAGGTACTGTAGCATAGGGCTGTGTCCACCTGAAGGAAAGGCAGTCTTGTGTGAATAGGCACAAGGTTTCAAGTCATGGGCCCATGGGGCTACATCTTTCCAGAGAGGGCACTGTAGGATAGCAGAAAATGCCACCCAAGAATATGCCACCCCCAAAATATGCCACTTTAGCATAAAGATTATTTTGAGCTGAAGGCAACTGAGAGGAAGTAGATACAAGAAATGCTCTCTGCTCTCTATTTGCCTAAAAGCAGGACATAAATTTACAAAGGTGTCCCTGCCCCCTCCTCTTTCTACCAGAAAGGACAAAAGTTAACCACCAGAGACAACTTTAGACCTGCGCCAGTCTAGAGATGCACCAGAGAAATCTACACAACAAACCTTACTAACTAGCTCTTATCATCCATTAGTTTCCCCATATATTTGCCTTTTAACAATTTGCTGCCCCTAGAAACTCGAAGTCTTTTTCCTTTGTCTAGTCACTTCTCTAAAAATTTATTGTTCCTCTGCTAAGATACCATATAAGCCCAAGTTCTACCCATTCCGTGGAGTTACTCATCTCTGGGTACTCCCATGTGTAAGTGTGATGCACATGTTAATAAACTTCTGTTTATTTTTCCCTTTTCCCTCATTAATCTGTCTTTGTCAGGCCAATTTACAGGGTCACAGGTGGAAAACCAAGGAGGGTAGAAGGAAGAAGAATTTTTTCCTCCTCTACAACACCTGTGTCTGGTTCTCAAAAAGTAGTTTTGTCCCAACGATTAGAAGGCTGGTAGCCCCACAACGGAGGTAAGTACTAGATGAACTCAAAAAAGAAAGAGGATGATTGGGGGTACCATCTATGTCCCCTCTCTCAGAAACAGGATACCCTGGTCAGAAGGTAAGGCTAAGGTGAGCACAGCCAGCTTCGTAGGTATGTAACCTGTGCAGTCCCAAAGGGCCCTGCATTTGTTTTAATGCTTTGCTTGCACTGTCTTAAAATTCTTAATTTTTGAACAAGAGGCCCCACGTTTTCATTTTGCACTGGACCCTACAGGTTATATAGCCATTCCTTAAGGTGAACTATAATGACCAACGCAAAGATATAGAAGAAAACAACAAAAAAGAAAGAATAGGAAGTGTCTTGCAGAAGACTGAAGAAATCAAAGGAAAATTTAAACCTAGATTAGGAATGCAGAATGACCAACAGGAAAGCACATATCTAATCAGGAGAAAATAAAGGGAAGGTGGAAACAGTATACTGAAGATCTATACAGAAGAGATGAAAGGATGACAGACTCCTTTGAAGAAGATTCCTATGAGGAAAAATTTGTAATTTTAGAAAAGTGAAGTGAAAGCTGCCCTGAAAGTACTAAAAAGAAATAAGTCACCAGAGGTAGATGGGATATTGAGAGAATTATTTCAAGTCACAGAGACTGAATCTGTCAAAGTCCTAACAAGACTATGCCAACAAATATAGGAAACAAAACAGTGGCCTACAGAACAGAAACACTCACTATGTATCCCAATACCCAAGCAAGGAGATGCAGTCACTATAGGACCACTGCTCTCGTTTCCCATGCAGGTAAGTGATGCTCAAGCTGCTGCAATGAAGGCTTTTACCTTATGTGGAGCAAGAAAGGCCTGACGTCCAAGTTGGATTTCGAAAAGGGAGAGGCACGAGATCTACGTGCGATTATTTGTTAGCTACTGGAGTGCTGCAAAGAGTTTCAGAAGAAGATTAATCTATGTTTTATAGACTATAATAAAGCCTTTGACTGCGTGGATCATGAAAAGCTGTGGGCTGCTCTGAAGGAAATGGGCGTCCCTCAGCACTTGACTGTCCTGATGCATAACCTGTATTATGGACAAGAAGCCACTGTCAGGACAGGATGTGGAGAGACAGAATGGTTTCCTCTAGGCAAAGGTGTCAGACAAGGGTGTATTTTATCTCCCTATCTGTTTAATCTGTATACAGAACACGTCATACCAAAAAATGGCCTAGACTCAGATGAAGACAGAGTGAAAATTAGTGGAAGAAATATCAACAATCGAACATATGCAGATGACACCATCTTACTGGCAGAAAGCAGTAAATGAAACAACTTCTGAGAAAACTGAAAGAAAAAAGTGCCAAAGCAGGACTGCATTTGAACATCAAGGAGACAAAATCATGACCATAGAAGAACTACACAACTTTCACGTAGACAATGAAGATACTGAAATGGTTATTTTGTTTTCCTTGGTTCAGTCATCAGTTGAAATGGAGACCGCAGCCAAGAAATCAAGAGAAGACTGAGACTTGGGAGGACAGCAATGAAAGAATTAGGAAAGATCACCAAGTGTGAGGAAGTGTCATTAGAGACTAAGGCCAAGAACATCCACACCCTTGTATTCCAATTACCATGGTCAGGTGTGAAACCTGG